GTTGGTTATGGGATTAAAAAGCTGCAGATCATGCTTACAATAGTTGATGATCTCGTCTCTGTGGATAACATGATCGAGGATTATCTCACGGCCGAACCTATCAATGAATACGTTCAGAGTTGTGATATTGTGGCATTCAACAAAATTTGAGAGTTCAAGCCCTATTGTGGCTGTCATTTTGTTAGTTTCACATTTTAATTTGGTTTGTTGCTGTTTCTCTCTTTTTCTTTATATGTTTTGTTTCTGAGTACTTCACCAAAATGTGCTTTGGGCGAATTACCTCTCAAGGAGCTCAGGAATGGTGATACTCGTTAACCGGGTCTTTTGCAGATTTACATTTATGTACTAGTATGCTATTATTATTATATATTAAGGTTTAAAATTCTCTCGTCTGAAAAAGTCTGCCCTTCTTTATTTTCAGTTCTAGTTGCCCGCTTTCATTTGTCTATTATTCAATACAATGGAGTTTTTAACATAATATAATTCAAAAGTTATAGTTGTGATATACTAATTTACACCGAAATCCACTTGCATAACTCCATAGATTAATTTGAATTTCTGATCATATTGTCATTTTAAGTTACATTTAATACTACAGAGAATAGTTTATTTAGTTACCATTTTGAAATCTATATATATAATTAGGGACAAGCTTCATTTAATTTTATTCAGTTTTAATTACTAATAATATGAGGTCATTTAATAAAAATAGGTTGCATTTAATAAAATTTTTTATAACCTCCATCCAAAAACCATTACAACATATTTTTTTTTTTTCTTTTAATTTATTACATACAATCATCCACCTATTTATACTATATTTTGAATTTGTAATGGTTGCATGTTTACCATCTTTTATTTCTTTATATTTGAATAATGTAATTGTTGCATGATTAGAGATAATGTTTAAATTTGAGTGATTAAAAATATTTTTTTAATTTGTATGTTTGATTATTCACATGCAAAATAAGTATTAAGTATTGATAAGCTATAGATACGACACAAAATATATATAAGAAAAGTCATTTTTTGTAATAGAGATCTTTACACCAGTTCATTTAAATTCAAATTTTTCTTGCAAGATTGTACAATATATTAATTGAATTTAATGAAAAATAATTATTCATTTTCTTTTATATGATAACTATAGTGACGAATTTTAATACTTTTATGATAATCATATTTACTAATGACAGAATTTTTAATATGAGATACTATTATTTAACTTATAATTTTACAACTGTACAATGCACACAATTTATAAATTAAAATAGTTTAAATTCCTGTGCATGTGCACAAGATCAAATACTAGTTATTATATATTATATAAGTTTCTAGACTACATAAATTTATTGATTATAGGTATAATCCATTATCTGATGTGGGATATTGCCCTAGTTCAATGGGATGGTTTGAAACCTTTCATTGCATCATTCAGGGGGTGGTCTCATTTATGCTCCATTGCTAGATCTAATGTGGCTGAATCCAGAATCCAACTGACCACATACATGTTGTGGTGACTTTGGAAAGCTCACAACTTATGTTTTTTTCAAAACACCAACCTCTCAGCTCCTCAAATAGTAAAAGACTGCACATCTGCAGTGGCTGGAATATTCTCTCCTTCATGGTCATTGACAGTTTTTAGCATTGCTTGGGTTGTTTTTTTGTTCTGTTTCTTTTGCTTCTGTTGGATGTTTTCTTGCTCTCTAGGCTTCGGCAGTGGAGAGCATGTTAGTTGCTGATTTTTAGTTTCTTTTGTTTAGCTAGTTTGGTTTTGTCTAGTTTGAGGTCGCCGTTGTGTGTCCTCTCAGTTTTTAGTTTCGGTTTCCAGTTGTATAATGTACTTTTTCTTTGGAGTTATATTATCATTTATCGTTTCGAAAAGAAAATAGGTATAATCCATTATCCTTTTTTTTTTTTTCCAAACACAAACAACCAATATATAAAGCTCACAATTAAGTTTCATAGAATACGAGTACCTAACTAGGTACAAGCTTACAAGCAACCCCAACAAACAGAATCACTCCAAGGAACCATAGATTAACACAAATATCTCTAAAAAGCCTCCAAGGCTGAAGAAAAAGAACTAAAACAAGCTATTTATCATACACAAAAGAACACTTAGAAAATGAAGTTCCAATGTTTTGGATATCAGCTACAATGGTCGCCCATACAACATTAGTCTTTCCATATGGTTCAATACTCGAGCAATGGGATAAGAATCTACACAACAACATATAGGATTTGTGACTCCAGTCCCATGCAACTTTGTCAATCCCCATCTAACAGCTCTAAGTAGTGCTTTTGAGAGCATTCTTTCCAGCAGAACTTCACACCCCTGTCATTTTCCACCAAAGCACCAAAACCAGCTTTCTCATCAAGGAAGAATGAACCACTAACAGTTAACAATAACTGTCATACCCCTCTTCCATATGTGCCCTGCCTCCAGATATTCACTACACTATGGTTCCTCTTAATCCTTCTCCCCCCATCACCCTTGTTACCAGCTGTAATCTCCTCAAACTCCCTCAACTCCTTCCATGCCCCATCAACAACATTTTTATCCTTGCTTTTGACTTTGTTAAACACCCAGAATTTCCTGGTTTCCCACAACCACCATGATAAATATGTGCAGAGATTGATTCTATCCGGAAAACATCCATGTTGTGTACAAATTGTTCTATTTGCCGAGTACTGAATCGAAAGATCCGTTCCCCGGGTCGATCTCACGAGGAAGGCGGTTCGGAATTCAGCTTTGGTATTCACAGCACATAAAAGCCAAATAAATCCTAAACATTCTAATCAAATAGGGGTTGGATGAATTATCAGCTAAGAAAGGAAGGACAAAGCAAAAATATAAATTTACCTAAAAATAAGAACAAAACAAAGATGAGAAGCTAGGGAATCGGGGATAATTAATTCAAGTTTTAGCAAAGTCGGGCATTGAATTGTTCAGTTTAAGATTGACACTCTTGCTTTTACATCTAGAGGTTCGCTCCCAATAACTTTTCGTAACAAGGGATTGAACATAGACGTGAAAGTTCGAGCATACAATACAAGTCAATTATCCCAATCCCAATAACAAGGGAGGGTCATCGACAAGTACGTATTCCAATCTAAAACACATAGATTATTGAGCTACGAACTCATCTACCTCATGCGAGCCTAGTTCTATGACTTCTCCCCTTTCGGTTCTAAAGTCGCTAATTAAATTAGAAGAGAATTAATCAACTAATCAAATCGAATCAACAAAACCCTAACTCGACTAATCAATATTCAATTATTTCTAATTGCAAGATCGAAGTGTCACTCTTCGATTATATCTATCAGTCAAACAAGATTCTATCAATTCGAAATCAATCACACTCACATAAGCATGAACAAATTGAAGCCCGACAATTACACATTAAACAAAAACAATCATCCACTATCCCTAGCAATCGAATTTAGCTACGAATATCAAATTCAACAATCATGATCAATCCTCTCAAATAATCATTATTCATGAATTAAACAAGAGAAAAGAATTCTTATAATCAATCCAAGTTCCAGTCAAACTCGAAATTGAAGCTAAACTCTAACTGAGAAGAAGAAGAGAAATGGAAAATAATGGTGAAAAGAAAGGTGAAAGATGAAGAAGAAGAAGAGAGGAAGGAGAAAAGAAGAGTTCGTGGTTTTTCTCCAGACCTAGGGTTGGTACCCCGCGGTCGAGAATTGAGAGCCCTTCTTTCGAGCCTCGAACGCGTTATTTATATTAAAATGAGGGCCCGACGTGGAAAAGTTTGACGTGGGCATGGCAGGCTACAGCGCCGCGGCGCGAAGGGCCTCACGACGCGACACGTCCTTCTATCACGGTGCGACACGTCCTCCTATCACGGCGCGAGGGAGTGCAGCGGGCGCGGCTGGTAGAAGCTTCACGGCGCGGGGCCTTCACGAGCGTAACATGCACACAGGATTAACGGCGCCGCGGCGTGGCGCTGTGCCGCCGCGCAGAGAGGTAAGCTGCAGCGGCGTGGGGCTTCATCTTGGCGCGGCGTGGGGAAGTGTCGCGGCGCGAGGAGGTCGGGTGCCACGGCGTGCAGCCTTGCCGCGGCGCGGTGTGAGTTCTGGACCTTCTGTCGAGCTCGTGGCAGTAGCGCGACGCGGGGCTGAGATGATCTGCCGCGGCGTGAAGGGCGTTGCGGCGTGGCGCCTGAGGTTTGCTGTTCTGACGGGGTCGCGGCAGCTGCGCGGCGCGACGTTCGCGGGAAGGGCTGAGATCTGCTGGCTTCCATGCACGTATTCACTTCTCGTCTCGGGCCCGTTTAAACTCATTTCAACACGGAATTAAGTTTTGCTTTCTTCTGCTTAATGCCAACGAAATGCTCTTTTTAATGATATCCTCCCGGTCTATTAATCGCGAAAAATAAATCCCCTTGAATCATTCGACCTGCACACCAAAGACGAAGAAAAACCGGAAAAATACACGTGAAACACAAAGAAAACCGAAATAGAACAAGACGCACAATAAAATATATAAATAAATAAAAATCGTCGAAAAGACCTAAAACGGGGAAAAAGAAAGATAAAATAAGCCCGAAAAATGCAACAAAAATGGGACAAACAACTTCCCCACACTTAAACCTTTGTTCGTCCCGAACAAAAAGAAAAGAAAAGAAGACACGGTCATGGATATGGTTTCAAATAAGAAGAGCTTCAAAATGCCCAATTCAATTGAGTCGAATTCCAACGAACGTACGACCATGTGCCTCTGATTTGTCGGAAAGTGTGTATTCTATATATTTATTAGCATATTTTTATATGCTTAATTTTATCACACATATATATTTTTCGACTTATTTATTTCTTCAGGTGGATCTGGTGCTTTGATTTATTTATGTTTTATTTTTAGGATATTGGAGTATTTTTATGGAAGACGAGACGTTGAAGAAGGATTGAAGCAGACCAGTACTAGGGTACCCCATACTCTGCCCCATACTCAGCCGTACACATGCACGAAATTTGGCCCAACACTTGTGATACTAAAAGACTTATTGGGCTAGAGACTAATTAATAAAGTGGGCCTCGGAGTCTTCAAATGGGAGGAGGATTAATTGGGAGGAAAGCAAAAAAAAAAGCATATTCACACCACTTGGAGACCAAAAAAGGTGGAATATAAAATATTCACGCATAGAGCCGCCACGCAACAGGGACATAGGAAATAAAAGAAGAGCAGCGGACAGAGTAAACAGAAGAGGAAGCCGATCAAAAGCGGAGGGAGGCCGCACCCGTGCACGAGGGAGATAATTAATCTCTCTTTTATCTTTTTATTTTTATTTATTATGTTAGAGTAGATTTTATTCTAGTTCCGGGGAAGTTGAACCCTACGACTTGATGATGTTTGATTAATTTATGGTTGATTATTTAGTTATCTTTTTGAAATTGTTTGTGTTATTTTGAATAATTAACCATGATGTGTTGGGTCTTATTTAGATTGATCACCTAGATTAGGCTTTACATATCTACACCTGAATTAGGCCTTCAATCTGTAATTGTTGATTTGTTTAATTCGTAAGTGGTATCCGGAAGATGGTAACTACCGGGGATAACACGGCATATTTAAGTGAACGAATGCGTCACTACTTAGTCTAGCCTATTTTTCTAATTCGTAAAGCGACTAATTGTATTAAATCTTGAAAGCGTCTTTCTAGACTGTACAAGAAGTCAGGTCTAATCGTAGAGCGTATCGCGGTTAGATTAAAAATAAGGAAAAATTTCGGGTAACTGACCGTGTCGTTACCTAGAACTAGTAATTTCATAAGATAGCGAGATTTGATACCAAAGTTGATTAGACGAGTCAGTCGAGGGTGTAGACGGAACCGTGAACTAGAAAGTTCTCTTATTTATTTTATTTTT